AACCTCAGTCTTAAGTCCATTGACATTAAGCGTGACACTTTTGAAATTATAGAAGTGGCGGCTTTCCCCTATGCCCCTGGGATTTACTCGCTGCACTTTTCACATACGTATTCCCTTACCACTCGAGTTATCCTGTGCAGTCACCTCCCCCCCTCCCTCTCCACTGTGCACTCAGGCGCAACCTCTAGCACTGTGGGGCATCGGCTCCACAATCCGCCCGCCCATGACTTCTTCCCCGGCCTCTGCCCCGGGTAATAACCTCGTCTATCTCTGATGCCGCAGTTCTTTTTTCTAGAACTTCCACTTACACACATCTCACCCTCAGACGAATCCTCCTGGTGTACCCCCACGGCCACCACACACTCCAGCCTTTTCTTCTCAAGTCTTTCTCCCACAAATTTGTTGTCCCTCCAGCTCTCCAACTTCACATAAACTGAGGACACCTTCTACACCGGGCTCATCCCCACCAAAAAATCCTTGATGACATCGCCGTAAACCTTCCGAGTCGAAGCTTCCTGGACTAAAGAATCCCCAGATAACACCTTTGACTCCCCCGACTCCCCTGGGATAGTGACACACCTCTCCTCCTCCCGCACCCCCGGTCGACCTCCTTTCTCCAGAGATCAGGCCCCGGCCTCCAGAGGCAACAGAGCCAGGCACCCAAATCACACGACTGTTGAATCACAATCGGCGTTTCCAGAATTCGAGGAGGGCCCGCCTCCTAGGACACTGGGCTGCCATGTGCTCATAAGAGCTGCAAAAGGGCGACATGTTTTTCTCTGACCCGCATAGTACACATAAACCTGTGTTCTACAACCGGTCATCGTTACATAGGATGGTATAGGCCTTTTTTAAAAACATTTTAAGGGTGTAAGAACCTTCCGGCATTCCCTTTATACGGACCATCCCTCCATACCCCCATGGTTGCAGAATGCCCCTGGGCCCATAACTGCGAAAAAACTCCTGTAGTCCATACGCCGTAGCCTCGAAGGGTACATTCCGTACCTTCACCCATGTGTAGTACTTAGAAACATCATGTAACACAACATCCATCGCTGAATTCACATCATGCGTTGTTCCTGTACTGCTCGACAATTCTTGTGTAGAAGCCGGCTCTCAGAAATTTCACAAGATTCTTGACAAACCATTAAGAGCGACGCCATATAATTCCTCGTTGGGGATACCATATGTGTCCCTGATGATGTTAGGGAGAAGTATGTTCATCGTATCTCCACTTAACGTACCACGAACCAGCTCTATGCAGATAGTATTTACTCTCCGTACTGTATGTTCAGCCATTTTGATATCCCAAAATGAGCAGCGCACGTCCACACTACTCAATGGTTGTTGATGTACTGTGGTAGCTCGCCTGAAAAACAGCAGAGGGGTGCTGGGCACAACCGCACTCCACCGTAGTCAGGCAGCGAATGACCCCGTCAACTAACTACACGAATACCACCTGGTGGTTCACACTTACACTCACTCACTCATTTGACCATAAACAGAAATATTAATCTCAGTCTTAAAATAATGAATCCTGTGATACTCCAATACTGAAACTATGTACTGTGCCAAAACAAAAGTATTCACATTGCTAAACTCACAAACTAGTATTTAGTCACTTAGCCATAATACCAACTTACCTCATAATTTGTAATATTTTACAATTAAGAATAAAACTAAGTATGCCCGAAATGCCTAGCCATGCTAAGCGTTCTAGTGGTACACTCTGTAATCACAATTTTACTACATGTAAACCAAACAATAACCAAATTTCTGTAAACTCAGCATTGTAATCCTTATAGAGAATAAACTTTGAATTGAATTGAATTGAATTGAATTGAGATATTAGATAATATGAAATTCAGAGACCAGCTGCTAAAAAGATTTAAAGCAAACAGATAGGATATTGCAGCACTAAATGAATTCCAAAGGGTGAGGAACAGAGTGCAGAGACTTATAAAAGGAGCAAAGGCAAAGCACTATTGCTCAATAATTGAAGAGTATAAGCATAACCCCAGAAAGCTCTGGCAACAACTAAAACAGTTGGGGTATAGCCATAAGCCAGTAGATGGGTCTAACATAGTACTCACTATCGATAACGAGGTATGCCACGAAACATCTAAGGTGGCAAATTGCTTTAATTCCTACCACACATCTGTTGTATCAACACTAGTAAGTAAACTACCAGCTGTATCAAATACCTTTAACACAGACTCTGATAAGTTTCAAACATACTACAATGTATACCAGTAAAGGGGTAACCCCAAACAGTTGTCTACTAGTAAGTTTATCTCATGACTTTATTCAAAAAGAACTAAGCAGGTTAAACCCAACTAAGAGCACAGGCCCTGATAACATCCCGTCTAAGTTCCTAAAAGATGGTGCTTCTGAACTGTCAATCCCTATTGCTCACATAAATCTATCAATCACCATACACAAATAACCCGCACATAAAAGAGAGAAGCTTACGACGACGTTTCGGTCCGACTTGGACCATTGACAAAGTCACACTAATACCGTACCGGAGGGGTTCAAGGAGGCCAGAGTTACTCCTATCTTCAAGAAAAATAATAGGTCTGATGTAAGCAACTATAGACCTGTTAGTATACTCAGTATAATATCTAAAATTCTGGAGAGGGCGGTGTATTCTCAAGTAGTTAAGTACCTTAATGACAACAGCATTCTCCATAGCTATCAATCGGGCTTTAGAAGATCCTACTCAACCGATACCTCCCTTATTAATCTGATGGATTACCTGAGAACTGAAATGTCAAAAGGGAACCTCATAGGTATGGTAACCTTAGACCTGCAAAAGGCCTTCGATACTGTCAACCACAATATATTATGAAAAGAAACTTCAAGCTATCGGTATAGGTTCTGTAGACTGGTTTAAGTCCTACCTTAGCAACAGGAGACAAATAGTCAAAATCAACAAAACGGAATCAGAACCCCTGCCGATAACATGTGGAGTTCCCCAAGGTAGTATTCTGGGTCCCTTACTATTCTTATGTTATGTCAATGATATGCCTATCAGTGTCAAGTGCAAACTCCTACTGTATGCAGAGGGACAGTGCTCTGTTAGTGACGGGTTTAAAGACCCACAAGATATTGCTAATGTTTTAACACTGGAACTGGAGTCCTGCATGCAAATGGTTAGTAGACAACAAACTACATTACACCTAGGGAAAACTGAAGCCATTCTCTTTGGAACGAAACATAAACTGAGAAGGGTAAATAATTTTAATGTTCAGTGTAATGGGGAGTCCATCACTTTGGTTTCATCAGTAAAATATCTGGGAATCCCCTTTGACCCATGCATGTCAGGAGAATTGATAGGGAACAGTGTAGTAAAGAAAGCGAATGCCAGACTGAAGTTCCTGTATAGACAAGCACAGTGTCTACCTACTGAGGCTCGCAGGACCCTATGTCTAGCCCTTATACAATGCCATATGGATTACGCTTGCTTTTCATGGTACTCTGCCTTGACAAAAAAACTGAAAGATAGACTGCAAATCACCCAGAACAAAATCGTAAGATTCATCCTGGGGCTGGGACCAAGAGAACATGTAGGCCAGGATGAATTACAGCATTTGGATATGCTGAATGTTGAAGACAGATACACAAAAAACCCGCACATAAAAGACAGAAGCTTACGACGACGTTTCGGTCCGACTTGGACCATTGACAAAGTCACACAAGATATTGCTAATGTTTTAACACTGGAACTGGAGTCCTGCAGCAAATGGTTAGTAGACAACAAACTATCATTACACCAATGGTCCAAGTCGGACCGAAACGTCGTCGTAAGCTTCTGTCTTTTATGTGCGGGTTTTTTGTGTATCGTTCCAGTCACGGTATTGTGCCTTTTTGTTATTTATTTGAAGACAGAGTAAAACAACTGAAGCTAAATCATGTTTATAAAATTGCTCACAAACAGTGTCCAGAATATCTTGCTGTCAATTTTGTCAAGGTTGGGAACCAAAGCAATCATAGTACTAGCCTAAATTTGCTTGTAACAGATAAGTGAACTATAGATATGTAGATATAAATCCATATGTATTCCTGTTAACCCTTTGGGGCCTAGTTCCTAGGCCTTTTGTGTATCCACATGCTCTCGCGCTACCGTCCACAGGATGGATATGGGGTGCACAATAAACTAGCCACTTCGGTAGCAAAATCTAAAAATCTAAACCTAGTAATGACCCTCGTATTGTAGATAGTCTTAATGACCTTGGTGTAGTAGATAGTCTTTTTAGTATGATAATAAGATGTTATCTTCATTGTAGAATAATAAGAAAATATTATAACCTTTATATTATAATAATAAGGTAAAAGGACCCCAATGGAAATAAGTCACTCTGTCTGACTTTTTTGGGTTATCCTAGGTTCTCTACACATATGCTGCTATGTATGATAATTCTATGTAACTGCATTTGTGTATACCTGAATAAATTTTATTGTACAGCAATAAAGGAATGGAACAGACTACCCACAAATGTCAAGGCCAGTCATAGCTTGAACCAGTTCAAGAAGACTGCCAAAAAGTGTCTGATGAATGAAGCAACAGAAAGGGAGGGGAATGATTTTCTATTTTTTAGCTAAAATACGTGTAAATTTTACCTTATCCCTAGTAATGACCCTCGTATTGTAGATAGTCGTAATGACCCTCGGGTAGTAGATAGTCTTAATGACCCTCGTATTGTAGATAGTCTTAATGACCCTCGTGTAGTAGATAGTCTTTTTAGTATGATAATAAGATGTTATCTTCATTATAGAATAATAAGAAAATATTATAACCTTTATATTATAATAATAAGGTAAAAGGACCCCAATGGAAATAAGTCACTCTGTCTGACTTTTTTGGGTTATCCTAGGTTCTCTACACATATGCTGCTATGTATGATAATTCTATGTAACTGTATTGTGTATACCTGAATAAATTTACTTACTTACTTACTTACTTACTTACTTACTTACTTACTCTTCATTTAAATGTAGCGCCACCAGTGTGCTATAGTTGTGGCCGCCGCCACCAGAGGCGCCCTCACTCTCTTACTCTCCTTCCTCCAGCGGCCGGACGGCCTGATAGTGGTAAGTTGATTGGGTTTTATATTTATCTGGCATCATCCCTCACGGTACCGTGTTTTGTGTTGTACTGTAATTAAATTTAGGTAATGCAGTGCTTAAGTTGTGTATCAGAGCATATTGTGGTGTGATATATTGTTGATTAACCTGGGAAATGACTGGATATAAATTTGTTTACATTTTTCTCTTGCTTCAACATGTAGGTCTCATGGTGGCTAATGCTTCCTAAGATGTCTAGTATCAGTGGTTTTCCTTACAGCATTCAAGATGGTGCGGTACAGCGCTCAACCGGAAAACACCACCAAGTCTTGTAAAGCCAAGGGCTCCAACTTAAGATGCAGTTTCAAGGTTCGTGACGTTGAGATTTTGCGCAACCTCGAGGTAAACTCAGTGGATATTTTTTGTATTAAGAATATGGCTGAGTGATGAAGTAATTGTTGAAATATAGAATTTATTAAATGAGACCCTTCAAGGGACGTTCTTGATGCCTATTAGGGGTTCTTCATCCCTGGAAATGGACCTGACCTCGCCTTCCTTGGATGATCTCCCATTCTCTCAAGGCGATGTACGACTACGGGTTTAGCTCTCAGAATTAAAGCTGAACATAGAATTTTTGCATTTATAGAAAGGAGCACTGTAGTAGACCTGCTTTATGTATCCTTGGTAAGGCCTTGTTTAGGTTATGCTGCATAGCTTTGGTCTCCATATTACAGAATGGACATAAATCCACTGGTAGACATTAAGGATGAACCCGTGTATTGTAAGTTTTTAGTAGTAGAATAGACAGAGGGCAATGGATTTTCACTCTGGAGACTTAGAATTAGGGGGATACGATTGAAATGTACAAATGGAAGACGAATAAATTAAGGGAATATAAACAATGTGCTGAAAATAAGTAAGTAAGTAAATATGCAGCAAAGACATGACAAATAATAATGGGTTAAAAAAAATTTAGGTATAGAAAGGATATATGAAAGCACAGGTTTGGTAATAGTTGTGAATAAGTAAGTTTATTCAGGTATATGCAAATAGTTACATATATTATCATACATAGCAGAATACATGTATGGAATGGACGAGTGGAACAAACTCTCGAACAGCATCACTGAGGTGAGAACTTTTGGTAGCTTTAAAAAGGTTAGACTGGGACACAGGTGTGGGTGGATGTGTGTTGGACCTGCCTTGCATAGGCTAATAGGCCTACTGTGGGGCTCATTCTTCCTTCTCATAGATCCTAACGTAACCAAGTCAGCAAGAATATAAATGTTTGATAAACAATAGATTAGGTCAAAAGATAGGCATATACAGGTAAATCAAGAGGGGGGGGTAATAAATCTCAAGGAAATTGAGCTCTAACCCAAAAGGTTTGTCAGGACGAAATTAAGTTATGGAAAATCAAGTAACAATTGACATGGAGCTCAGACTGATAGATTAAAGCCAAACAGATCACTTGGCCTTAATGAAATGTTCTCAAGGGTTAGTAAGCGTATTTATGTGCAGGTACACATAGTTCAGTTACTACACATTTAGGTGACTGGAATTGTCATACATACTAACATGTATGTAAATTATCTAGGATAACCCATAAAAGTCAGAAGAGGATTTTTCATTTGCATCCTTGTAATATCTTATTTAACCCTTCAGCTGTCCGAACGTAGATCTACGTTTTATTTTAAAATTGAAAGCGTGTAAAATCAAATGTAGATATATGTTTGGACAGTTTAAGGGTTAAAACCTAGCTTAGTTATAAAGGATTTTAAAGGAAACTTTAGCAAACCATTAACTTGTCTTTTTAACCCGTAAACGGTCCAAACGTATATATATGTTTTTTCAACATTTGAAAGTATGTAAAAAAAGTAGGTCTTCTTTTTGTTTTTCCTACATTTGAAAATGTGTAAAAAAACTTGGATCTACTTTTGTAGCACTACACGTGTGAACGTAGATCTGCTTGGACCGTTTACAGGTTAATAGATCACTTCAAACTGGTAGTGTTGGGTGATTGGAAATTGGCAGTGGTGAGACCTATTTGCAAAGCAGGAAATAGGTTGTTGGTTTTTGAACTGTGGCCATTAGCCTAATTTCCATTGTGCAATTTAAAATTTTAA